GCGCATGTATGAGCTTTGTATATATGTGTTATTATGCCTGTATATATATATATATATATGTATGTGTAAATATATATACATATATATATATATATATATATATATACAGAGTAGTGTGCAGGTAGGAGTTGGCTTCTGCCAACAGTTAGTAAGGAGTAATCAGAACGTAGTAGGTAGCATATACTAGGCAGTGGGTAGTAGGTTGTAGGTAAAAGGAGGAAGTGCAGCAACAAAGCTTCCAGTCAGCGGGCGTTCAGGGTTTAGGGTTTAATGTTTAGGGGTGGGGTTGCAGAACTTTGGGCTTAGACTTCCGGTTCTCACAAGGCCTGCGGCTCGGAGTGACGCTCGACCTAGAAACCGACATTATCGCTGCTCAGCCTTCAGCCCTAAACCCGCCAAAAAAACAGGCAACCCTGTCTTATAACCCTAAACCCTAAGCCCTCAACCCTCAACCCAAATGGTCCTCCTTCCCATCGTACTGAGGCCTGGCTGAGCAACTTCCTGGATCGCTCCGGAAGCCTGCGCGGGCAGCTGGTGGCCGTGAAGAGCGTGAAGGCGCGCTTCCGGAGGGGGTGGGGGGTGGGGGCTTTTAGGGTTTTTGGGGGGAGGGGGAGGGGTCGTGGACATCGGTCTTTCTCTTCAAAAAGGGTGATGAGTGATGGTTTGTTAGGCAACGTAGAACCTAAGTAGAAGTTTGAGAATCGTTTCCTGCCTGCTTAAGGGCGGCGGCGGGCTTTGGGACGAAGAGGGGCTTGCGGTACGAATGCTGAAGATTTGAAGTAAAGAGTTGAGCAGCTAGGACTGTAATTGCCCAACCCACGTTCATTCCCCTACATCCTTGCATTTAGGGTTTCATTCCTCAACTTTAAGATTCAGTAGCGGTTGTCGGAGTGCTGCTGGTTGATCAGCCTTTTCGGGTCGAGCATTGAGGTGTTACGGACCGGACAATATCTCCACCGCACCTGTAGGCCCTTGATCCTGAATACTAAGCCCTAAACCCGAATAGGCCTCCGCCCGGAACATTTATCTTTTTATCTTTATTACGGTGTGATAATGCCTCCGCTGGCCAGGCGAGGGTATTCCTCACTCCCCGAACTCCGCGTACTCCGTTTAGCGTCTTTAGCGGATGCGACGAAACTT